CAACAGCAACAGAAACTGTAGTTGACACAAACAAGAAGATTTTATACAGAATTAAACTGAATGAAACAAAAAAGCACACTGATCAGAGCGACCACCATAAATACAATATTTTGCTTAATTTTAAATATGCATAATAGTAATGGTAACCAGAGTAGATGCATTGCCAAGACAAGCTGAGATGGTGACATCAACAAATCCTTTGCTCATCCAATATGTACTGCATCCTCTCAAGTCCAAACTACCAAGTACAGAAGTTCGAAGTTGACGGACTTAGTATCGACAAACGCTCCTACTCTTCATACTGACCACTTTTATCTGATCTTTAGGAAAAAAATGCAGCAAATTGCTTTACCATGACAATTTTGTTTGTTTTTTTACCATGAAACAACATGACTTTTTTAAAACACGTTTTTCCCACAGCAGTCCTTCTTGTCTTGTCTTTTTGTATTTCTAAGTCTCCCATCAGACCTTTCACACTGGTTACTGGCTCAATGGCTCCTTGGATGTCCCTCTCAATTTCCTCAGTCTTTACCATCCTTGTCCTCTCATCCCTGATTATCCCTTTTCATTTTTTGACATCTCTCATGGCATTGTCAAAGTTACAGGGAGGTTGTGTAAGCTGGTCATTGAAATTAGAAATATTTTATAAATTATGACTTCACATTATTCATACTAAAGTTCATTTTAGGAAAATAAATTTCCACCATGAACATGTACTGAAGGTTCTGTCGCACCTGTCACATGGGGACCCTTCCTCCTCTTGGGCTCAGGGTGATGCACAAATATGTTTGGAATAGCATCAACCAGCACGATTTGATCACCCTCCTTCTTAGTTTACTTGTTTAGGTTTAGGTCAGTTCCTGGATGCCTATGGTGTCATGATTATGTCACTTGATCCCATAGATACTCAGCAGTTGAGGCAAGATAGCTTTTGTGCTAATCGCTTTGGAACAATCGTCGAATGACTATTAAACTTTGTCAAACTATATAATACTAGACTATTATTATGAACATTAGGTCAGATGTTCACATGACTGTAGTCATTTATACTTGCTTTGGCACAATTGCCAAAGCAAGAATACTTTGCATTTGTATGGTATTGAATCATATTCCTCTCAAATACAGTCAATAACCTGTCAAATATATACCAGATAAATAATAGTTATGTGGTGTTGTTGTAAAAGTTGTCAGATGGATAGACTTAGGCTAGATGGGGAACAAATCAATTTCTTCACAGTTATGAGCAAAACAACTGCAGTCCAATTTAGCTGACAGGGGAAACTCATAACCAATCAGTTCTCAAACACATTAATACTGCAAGGGTAAGACTCAGTGTTACAGCTGTGGAATATGGAGCATGCAGGAGACAGGGGCAAGAGTCTGCCCGTGCAAGAGGAAGAGGCATTAGAGTGCGGGGTGGTATGGTGAGGGTGAGGGGGAAAGGAAGATGGAATGGGGGCACAGAGGAAGAAGAAGAGCCAGAGAAAGGCAAAGACACGGATAAATCTCAAATGAGATACAGGCAACAGTTTTAGACCATATAATCAGCCATGTCCTAAGAGGCTGGTCAGATAGTGTATAACCTAATCAGAGCCAGTCTGCAGTGTCGTCAAATAAATGTTTTGTTTAAAGTATAGTGTGTGCCGTGGCTGACATCAGTACTATTCAGCTGCCTAAGAAAAACTATATTAGCAATTGGACAATATTACATAGTGGGTAACTATCACACTTTTAGAGTTCACTGTCATTTGACAAGATGTCTTTGCATTTTGACTGTCTTGATCTAAGCAATGATAAAGGAACCTTTTGTTTTGATTACAATGATGGATGAGTTAATTCTTTTGATTGATTAATCACCTTTTGCAGGTCACATAGAGTGGTGTGCTGAATGCCCCACGTAGTGTGAGGATTGTACTTAACGTTTTGATAATTTTAAGTTTGTTTCAGTGCATGAGCCAAATCAATTGAGAAAAACTGTAATATTGCACAGACAGGAACATCAGCCTTAAGGGGTGTTTCCCATGCTCACATTTCTAATTTAGTATTTTGTTTTCAATTCATTGTCTTGTCTTTTTCTAATCTGTATCACAACGACATGCTCTGTCACAAATAACGGGTAAACATTAAAAGCACAACTGTGTATCCTGTCCAATCTCTTGCAATGCATTAATTTGTACTGTTGAAACTGATATATGCCATCCAGATAAAGTGAGCATTGTGAATTTTCAGTCAGTCATCCCAACCTTAGTTTACTGTAAATCAGAAAATAGTCCACTGTTCTATTGACAAATGGCTAAACATTTTGACCATCTTGTTCGTAAACAAGGACTTGTCATTCTGATGGCACTGACATGTTCACTGACACAGATATTTACTTTTGAGAGATAGATTAAGGATTCTGAGAAAGTTATGGGCTTTTGTACGTAATCCACTGTGTTGTGCTGTTTACATGATCTGTTTAGAGAAATGCACTTAGTGTTTTGCAAATGTTAAGGTTGATTTGAGAACTGTGCCAAAACGAAAAACTGTAATTGTGTTCATTGTTGTTTTACAATCAGTAGTCGGCACAGGGTGTTTTATTTTGAAAATCTATGCCGTTCTGTACCTGACTTCCTGCCCAGTTCGATCGCTCTGTGCTGCTTGAAGTCCCTTTCAGATAGGAAGTGATTTGCATACTCCATATATTTCCTTCACTCGCTCCCAGAGTGGATTTAGCATGATCTCCACATTTAACTGCAATGTGAATAGATGGTCCACATACATTTGATTTCTGGGTGTGTCCTGCTCAGAAGCACAGGAGTCATTTCTACTGGCAGAATATGTTTATATTATTTATACATTATTTGTATTATTTATATCGTCTGATTTTGAATTCATTATTGAACAACCCAGAATATGACCATGGTGTCTTTTAAAGATCAGAAATGATTTATTGGGTTAAATGTTTTAGGGAAAACTGAAATTTTGTAAACCCATTGCTCAGGAATTATCAGCCTCACACGTGACTGAATGGAAATGACAATAAATGTTTCTTGCTGACAGTCTCTCCGACTCTCGCATTTGGCCTGTAGTAGAGAAAGACTGACCTGTTAAGCTGCTAACTCTTTGTGTATCAAATGCATTGACTAGACACTGATGGACAACAGACCATCAAATTGTCTGGTGCTAATTTTATACCCAGACTGACAACTAATGTATATTCACAGAGAAAGAGAGACAGAGAAGGTAACTCATTTTGGTTGGACTGGTTAGTGCAGATCCAAATACCAATTCTATAAAACATACACTCTAGTACCAGATCCATATTCATCAAAGTTAAACCAGATGCTGCCTTTTCATGCACTCTGCAGTTTGTAGACTCACGATGTGCAATGCAGAGATGCTTTTTGACTTTGAAAGACTCAAGAGAACAGCTTAAGATAAGAACATCTTTAAGTGCTCCTCTTATTGTGGGACACTCGCTTCCATAAGTTGTCTGTGCTAACAGCATGTTTACACACATATGTTTATGCATTCTCACTCAGCATTTTTCGCTATCCTGTAGTTGATCAATGTATGTTGACATAAGGAACTCAAAGCCTCAAGAATATCAGGACATACTGTAGACTGTGAAAATGGCTTGGTGTTGAATATTAATTAATTCACCATTGTAATTCAAGTGGAGGAAAAAAGAAGAAGCAAAATGGAGGTGGAAAAGCAGTGCACACAAGGCAGAGTGCATGAAAGGCAAGGCACAATACTTCAAAATACAGAACATGTTGTTTTTGTCTGCATATTTCTCTTTCTGTGTCATGATCCTGTCTGTGTGTCTTGTTTGGGAGTCTGAGTTTAGTTCCATGTCCTTAGTTCATGTTTTGGTAATCATTCCTGGTCCTTGTTTGTATTATTGTGATTTGGTCTCCTCTGTACTCTGGGTTCTAGTTCTGTGTTCTCATTTAGGTTCTGGTTCTTTGTAACGTGTGTGTTTCTGTCTTTTTGGTTATTCACTCTGCCCCATGTCTGCTTGTCTACTGTTCTCTCTGTTTCCCCCCTGCTGTCTCTCTGCTTACCTGCTTGTCTCTCTGCCTCGTTAGCCCTGATCCCGCTCACTGTGTTGCTCCCGCCCCGCTCGTTAGTCCCTGTGTATATGTATGCCTGCTTGTCGCTCCAGTCTTTGTCACGTCCTTGCGTCTAAAGTTGAGTGTTCCTGCCTGTTCCTTGTCTTCCTAGTTCTGGATTATTCCCTGTGTTTTGGATTGCCTTGTGTTCTGGACTACCTTTGTTGGACTTTGCCTCGAGCTCCTTGTAAGCCGGTTTAAGTTAGTTTTTTGAGTTAATAAACATTTTTGGACTGCAACCTCCTCGCCTTGCCATTGTCTGCATTTGGGTCTTCGCCCCAGTCTGCACTCAGCGCCCCAATCCATGACATTCTGTCTCCCTGTACTTCTAATTAATTTCTGGTACTGAGGCTGCAGAGAAACATATGCGTTTAACCATCTTTTTAGATGTTCTCCTTTTCATTTCAAACTAGCCTCTTGTTTCCACTTTTCGCCATTCTGCTGTAGCTTTGCGTGAATCAGTCAAATGTATAGAAAGCCTCTTATAAACATGCTTTTTATTTCACTTGCGTATTGACTCCTTAATGACCACATGGTTAAATTCTGTTAAATGCAAGTGGAATTCTTAACACACAAATGCATCTAGTCAGATACTCTTGTTTAGTCCTGCTGTATCTACTAGGAAGTTAACATGTAATGAACCATAATTATGCTAATTCAAAATGGACTAGAGCAGTTGGAGCATTTTGATCAGGGTGTTTCATTAAGATGTTCTCTAAAATTCCCAAATTTTCCCTATGGGGGATTAATAAAGTTATATCTTATTTTAAACCTAAAATGGCTGTTATAATGCAGAACCTTGTGCATGGCACATCCTAAATGGAAACATGCCTGTATGTGTGGTAGTTGGCTGGTTTTATTAGGATGTTACAGCCATGATTACGTCACAACTCTAATGTGTGAAAAGAGCAAGGATCCTGGAGTACAGAACTTTGTTCAATCATGCAATAAAAAGTAGTGATGAAGGAGTGATAGCGGAGTTTCATCTGCTCTTTTAAATAATTGTCAGAGTAAAAGTAATACTAAAATCATTCCTAACAAACAGCAGTATCTCTGTCTTAGCTTAACTTAATATTTTAATGAAACAAAAGGACAAACCACAACTTGCTTGTTTCTTGTTTGGTTTTCACAATATGGGAAATGAAATGAAAAGGCAAATAGTACAACACAGACTGACAGCGACAAATAGACACATTTGCATCTTTAATTAGATTTCCAGTGAAATTATGTTTATGTTTTTTTGCTGAAGAAGGAAACAAGAAAGCTCTCTCAAACTCCTGAGTCAGAATGCTCTTCATATCACGGTCATTTCTTTATAGACTGGATATGAGATTGATTTTTTTCAACACCTAATGAACTGACTGAATCCATTACATCGTTGCTTTGCTTTAAATTAACCAATGTCCATGTTTCTGATCTGAAAATAAAAATATTCAGTTCAACCCAGCAGCTGAGGGCAACATCTATGATAATTTGGCAGCTTTATGCTTCTGCTGGAATTAAAATGGCTCAATGTTATTACAGGTTGCGTAACTGTTAAATTTTAGATTTGTAGTGAAACTGCGTGACTCAGGCTGAGAGAGCACTTGCCTGTGCTAGACAAACTGTAGGCCGGCACTGCAATGTCAGAGAGGGGGCAAATTTAAAACAGAGTTCTGTTAGTAGAGAGATAGGGAGCACTCCAGTGAGACTGGTTGACTTTAACACAAAAAAGTCTGCACATAATGCTCCAAATATTAACACATTCACAACTGTGTGTGTGTGTGTGTGTTATGCAGGGCTAGGACCACTGAAATCTATTAAATAAATTAAATCTTTTCCTCATGCACAAACTTTCTGCTTAGCCATCACCTATGCAAACACAGAACAACAAAATCAAACGGTTTGCTGAAATTCAGGGGCTGATGTCGTTGTGGGACACTGCAGTGGAGTGGTGTGACTTAGTGACGCTTCTTTGGATTGCTGCCTTACGGACAACATAAAAAGTGGATAGCAGTGTTAAGTTAAATTCAGTTTAAGTTTAGTTGTTGTTACATTAGGCAAATTTGATTATTGTTCTGCTGAATACAAAACCAAAACATAAAAATACTAAGAGTACTAAGAGATTTAGTGTTACCATTAAATAGTGATGCTTTTAGACAAAAAATCAAAGCAACAAATGCTTAGATATCCTGACTTAGTATGAAGTATGATTCAAGTCCCAGAAACCCTGAATCCTACACTTCCCATAGAACAATAGCGTCTTTCATTCCACTTTCCCTGTCTCTGCATCTTTCAAACTCCATGCTACCAGTTTGCAAGGTGATAACAGTTTTCAATGTTCAATAATTTTTTCTTTTCTTTTAGTTCTGACTATTAGATGTCATTTTAGTTTCAGAAAGGTTGTATATTTAGTTTTTAGTAATCCACGCCTTTGTTGCCACTCGGTTGCAGTAGTTTTATTTTGTTTTTGTTAGGGCCAGGTATGACGTGGCAGACGTATGTAGCTACATATACATACAAAATACATGTACAAAATTAACAACTAAATGCTTCTAATTCAAATATTTGTGTATATGTTCCATGTATTGTATTCCATGAAGGGACTACATCTTTCGTCTCACTGTGCAACCTTGTGTTGCAAAATGACATTAAATTAACTGTGATACCTTATTGTGAAATTTCAACTTGTTTTATAATCACTTTAGTTTTAGTTTAACTTAAAGGATATCTTTTGTTTTTTGTTTCAGTTTCTGTTTATGATAATAACCCTGCCAGTTTTTAAAGCAGGCTTTCTGTTCTAAGTTTGAAGTCTCAAGTGGAAGCTGAGATAACTGTAAAAATCTTCCCCCAAAGAAGATATCATACAAATGTTTACACAGGCATGACGAGTGAACGACATAAACTGACTTCATTTGTAAAAGTGCCCCTTTAATTTTGTCCTGATTTATAGATTTCTTAACATTTCTTTTCATCACAGCCCTTTGTGTGTGTGTGTGTGTGAGCACTTTTACATTGTTTCAGATTGCTGTCCAGCAGTAGGCTCCGCTGCTTCTCTCCACATTTAACCATCTTCAATCTATATGAGACAGGTCAGGTCGTAGTGCGACAGTCTTGGACACAGGCAAACACTCAGTGCATATTTCTGGCCTTTTAACACCTGGTATGGGCAGCAGATGGCTGTTAACAGCTTAAACTCCTGGCAGATCTGTTTAATTCACAGAACTCTGGTCCTCAGACTGGACAACAGCCCAGTGAAGTGAGAGGTGGCGGAAGCTCGTTTGGCTGCCATCAAAAGAAGCCAAGAGTGTTTGGCAGATAGTGAGAGCAGCTGGCACTGTTGACAGGGGCCGACTAAGTGGCCTGAACCTTCTGCAAAGGAGCAGGAGGGACCATTAGGGCAACTCTTACAGTACAGGGGTAGGAGCAGTTGGATGGCTGTTACATCCCTCTTGACATCATGAATCATACAAGAATGTCTTTTGTCTTTTGAGTGTATGTGACAGATAGAGAGAAAAAAATGGGGGATGAAGGTGATAAACAATTACTTTTGCTTTAACAGAGAAGCAGAAAGAAAAAAATACACACATCACATCTGCATGTTTTTAACATGGAAAACACACCCACACACCCCCACCCACACACAAAATCAGCAGATTATACTTTTTAGTTTGTTACCAAAACATGAAGCTCAATTCCTCAGACCAAAGATACATTTCTAGAGAAATAATACATTCATTCCAGGTGATGGCGATGAAGATTACAATATCTTGATATAATAGACAAACATATTAATTACTTCATGGCTAAAACCTGAGTTATTCCAAAGTATTTCCATATGAAACTGCACAACAATGCACATCAAAAATAAGTGATGCATCATTATTCTCATATGGAGTATTATTTGCATGACTAAGCTATGCTAATATATTCATGTGATATATATATACACACATCAACATATGGGTTATTTATGTATATGTATGTCTCCGGGGTCTGAGATTATCTGAGAGGTCCAGTCAAAACACAGAACCACATTATGACAGAATAAGTTTCAACAATTTTTCTGAAGCACATCAGCCTCAAAAAGTATGTCCTTACAACAGAGGTGTGACTAAAATGATATTTCTTTTTTACACATTTAAATTTTTGATTCTTTTTTGCTTTCAAACTCGAGAGGCAAAGAGAGTTGGTGACCAAGACGTGAACAGTCTACTTGTCTCTGCTTTTTCCTCATTTTTTCTTTCAAGCATTTCTTCTGCCCTCCTTGTTAGTCTTTGATCCTTACTCTGAAAATGAGGAGGAGCAGAGGCACAGCATACTTTTATTTGTCCTCAGCCTCCATGTCCTGTCCTCCCTCTTCCTCCTCTCCCAGTCCTCTCCCGCATGAAAGCAGGTATGACTGTTTATATTGAGTTGACGGGGTCGAGCACTGCAGTAGAGCGATGTTCAGTCATTGGAATTAGTTTTAACAGGTTCCTCGTGGCACTGGAGGGCTCCGCTGCACCCATTGTCCTGCTTTCTTCGTCACAAAAAATCCTCATAGTCCAAGAGTTTGGAGTGCTGGCGTGTCTTCCAAAGTCGGTAGAGGCGGAAGTCGAAGTACATCTCAATCATCTCTTTGCCTGTTTTGAAAAAATGGACAGAAAAAGTTATAATCACCAACCTTTTCATTCCCAGGTTGTCTACAGGTGCTGGTCATATAATTAGAATATCATCAAAAAGTTGATTTATTTCAGTAATGCCATTCAAAAAGTGAACCTTGGATATTATATTCATTCATTACACACAGACTGATATATTTCAAATGTTAATTTCATTTAATTGTGATGATTAAAACTGACAACTAATGAAAATCCTAAATTCAGTATCTCCGAAAAATTAGAATATTACTTAAGATCAATACAAAAAAAGGATTTTTAGAAATGTTGGCCAACTGAAAAGTATGAACATGAAAAGTATGAGCATGTACAGCACTCAATACTTAGTTGGGGCTCCTTTTGCCTGAATTACTGCAGCAATGCGGCGTGGCATGGAGTCGATCAGTCTGTGGCACTGCTCAGGTGTTAAGAGAGCCCAGGTTGCTCTGACAGTGGCCTTCAGCTCTTCTGCATTGTTGGGTCTGGCGTATCGCATCTTCCTCTTCACAATACCCCATAGATTTTCTATAGGGTTAAGGTCAGGCAAGTTTGCTGGCCAATTAAGAACAGGGATAACATGGTCCTTAAACCAGGTACTGGTAGCTTTGGCACTGTGTGCAGGTGCCAAGTCCTGTTGGAAAATGAAATCTGCATCCTCATAAAGTTGGTCAGCCGCAGGAAGCATGAAGTGCTCTAAAACTTCCTGGTAGACGGCTGCGTTGACCTTGGACCTCAGAAAACACAGTGGACCAACACCAGCAGATGACATGGCACCCCAAACCATCACTGACTGTGGAAAGTTTACACTGGACTTCAAGCAACGTGGATTCTGTGCCTTTCCTCTCTTCCTCCAGACTCTGGGACCTTGATTTCCAAAGGAAACGCAAAATTTACTTTCATCAGAGAGCATAACTTTGGACCACTCAGCAGCAGTCCAGTCCTTTTTGTCTTTAGCCCAGGCAAGATGCTTCTGACACTGTGTCTTGTTCAAGAGTGGCTTGACACAAGGAATGCGACAGCTGAAACCCATGTCTTGCATACGTCTGTACATGGTGGTTCTTGAAGCACTGACTCCAGCTGCAGTCCACTCTTTGTGAATCTCCCCCACATTTTTGAATGGGTTTTGTTTCACAATCCTCTCCAGGGTGCGGTTATCCGTATTGCTTGTACACTTTTTTTCTACCACATCTTTTCCTTCCCTTCGCCTTTCTATTAATGTGCTTGGACACAGAGCTCTGTGAACAGCCAGCCTCTTTAGCAATGACCTTTTGTGTCTTGCCGTCCTTGTACAAGGTGTCAGTGGTTGTCTTTTGGACAGCTGTCAAGTCAGTAGTCTTGTAGCCTACAGAACTAGACTGAGAGACCATTTAAAGGCCTCTGCAGGTGTTTTGTGTTAATTAGCTGATTAGAGTGTGGCACCAGGTGTCTTCAATATTGAACCTTTTCACAATATTCTAATTTTCTGAGATACTGATTTGGGGGTTTTCATTAGTTGTCAGTTATAATCATCAAAATTAAAAGGAATGAACACTGGAAATATATCAGTCTGTGTGGAATGAATGTATAAATTATACAAGTTTCACTTTTTGAATGGAATTACTGAAATAAATCAACTTTTTGATGATATTCTACTTATATGACCGGCACCTGTAATAGTGATGCTTTGTTACGCCCCTCAGTGCCTAAAGGTGACGCTAAAGGGTTCAGATGCATATGGTACCCTCTACTGTCTGTATGAGATGCATTCTTAACACGTGGTTAATGTTGTGAAATGGTTGCAGCTTAGTCAGGTTTAGGTAACAAAAGTGCTTGGTTAAGTTTAGGAGAAGTTCATGGTTCGGGTTGAAATAAGTAAAATAAATACATCCTATGACTCAACATTATGTAACTTAATACATTCAATAGGTCAACATTGACTTTTGGTGTCACACGGGACACAAACATCTGTCTCCTTGCTGAAAGTCCTGTGTTTGTTATCCGACCAAACCACCATCTTATGTAGACTTTTTGGCTCCATATAGTAAGTCATTTGACTTCCTACACTGCAAAAACTAAAATCTAAGTAAGATTAATTATCTTAATTGAAGGTAAAATATACTTGTTTTTTGTCTGACGAGATATTTCTTCTTACCAGGCAGCTTTTATGTTAGAGAATTTCACTTTTTCATGTTTTTTTGTCCAAATGAAATATTCTTGTTCTGTTGGCAGATAATTTTGCTTATTTTAAGTAATATTTCCCCCATTTTAATTCTTTTTTCCCTTATTTTTGAGAGCTCACTTTTTGCAGTGTAAAGGCTTTCTGGCAGCCCTGTGTGTTTCATAGTCACTAAAGGGTGCCTTGCGTGTCTGTATGAGATGCTGAGGGCCGTGACAAATGGTCTGTATTTGACGACCTGTTTTGAGTTTCTTTGTTATGCAAAAACAATATATGGACAGGATTTTCCATTTTTATATCAGCAAACAAAAAACTGCTGCAGCATATAATATTAAAATCATTAGCAGGAATATAGTATGTGTTTTCCACCAAGCATTTGATGTGAGTTCCTAACCACCATTTGTCAAGTTTGAACCTGTGACTTTGTCTGTTTTACAGAAGACTGTTCTCATTTGAAGCCCTCAGGGTCTCCAAATGATATTGTCCCTCCTCGACTTTTTAAGGAGGTTCTCCCTACTATAGGGCCATCTATTATTGCAATTTTAAATAGTAGCCTTTCCTCAGGGGTGGTACCTGAACCTTTTAAACATGCAGTAGTGCAACCTGTAATTAAAAAACCTGGTCTGGATCCTGAAGACCTCGCTAATTTCTTGCCTATCTCCAAACAGTAATCCACGTCTTTGTTGCCACTCGGTTAGATTACTGTAATGCACTGTACGTGGGGGTCAGTGGGTCCTCTATTGCTTGTCTCCAGATGGTACAGAACGCTGCAGCTCATCTTTTAACTGGAATGTGTAAATATGAGCATATTTCCCCCATTTTAGCCTCACTCCATTGGCGGCCTGTACAGCATAGGATCCATTTTAAGATTCTTTTATTTGCTTTTAAGTGTCTTAATGGCTTTGCTCCACCCTACATCTCTGAGCTGCTACATGCCAATAGACCCACCCGTTCTCTCATGTCAGCCGATCAACTGCTCCTAAGTGTGCCCAAAACCAAGCGCAAGCACAGAGGGGACGGAGCTTTTGCTGTAGCAGCTCCTAAACTGTGGAACGATCTACCTCTGCACATTAGACAGGCATCTTCACTGTCTGTTTTCTCTGGCCTTTGAAAACTGAAGTTGACATTTCTTGTTTTAGTTGTATTGATTTTATTGTTTTATTGTATTGTTTTTATTTGTATTTTATGCGTCGTGGGAGCTTTGTCTTTAGTGTCTTTTATGTATTCATTTATTGTTTTACTGTACAGCACTTTGTTTCCACTTGGACTGTAAAGTGCTCTATAAATAAATTTTGATTGATTGATAAAAAAAACATGTGGATATTGTACTGCAAAAGCTGAATTAATTATTTGCAAATAGCTTGAATGTCAAATTTTTACTACTTTCCAGATACGTTTAACAGCATTTCTTGATTGTGTTGATGCAAATGGTAATTCAGGTGGCATTGCGTTAGCCTCAAAATATATTTGCTAAGAATTAGTAGTATATAAACATAATTTGTAGGAGACAGGATTGATTTGTGTAGGACAAAAGTTTAGTGTGGTTTGAGTTGAGGATTAGTTGAAGCCTTGTTGGGAGTTTTTTTCTGCCTATGTTGTTATGTGTAAATTGTAGGTCATCAGGGGTGCAGGACTGCCTGTAATGGACAGGTACGTAGCAGGAGATGTACTTGTTGGTGCACGAAGAGTACAGGTCAGGAGAGAAACATGTCTCTGTGGAAAACATTTAATCAAAGTGAAGAGCTAAAAAAGAGGAGGTCTAGATCTGTGTGTAACAAGCAGTAGTTTCCTATTGCTCCCAGAATTGAGGACAGGCTTTTGAAATACTGAATATTGTGCTGAATAGAGAGTACTGTATGCCCCTAATCTCACCTGCAGCTAGTGAGGAGAAGAGTGGGTCTTAAGAGAGTGCAAACTACCGTGACTTATTTCTCCTGCTTGGTGGGTGCTGTGCACAAAATGTGCGTGTGTGTGAAGTCTATTTGATAAATTCACACTGAAATATGAAACACCGTGTCAAAAAAAAACCCAAATAGGGAGGATAAGGGGGAGAGAGAGAGCAAATGAGCATGCAAGAGTATTTTAAAAACAAAAGTAAAACAGCAAGTGACACACTTAATGCTGGACATATGGATTTGTCTTCGTCATTTCATACCGGATGTGAAGATTGTATGTGTGTGTGTGCGTCCCTGTGATCGGCCTGTGTTCTGACCCACCCTGTGCAGACAGCTCCAGCGGTGACTCAAACTCGACAGAATAAGGCCTCATCAGATTCTTTAATTTCTGGAACAGCTGTTGGGCCGAGATAAGAAAGCAAATACCAATTAATCCGACTGCACTTGGATACACTCGCAGCAGAGGATCCTGCATCATCAGACACAACACGCACACATATACAAACACACACAAACACACATGGCAATGTATATAGCTCATTACTGCCAAAGAGACATATGCACATTTCTTCTTGAGTAGGTACCAAGGAGGACTGGTAATGCAGTGAGAGAACAAGATGCAAAGGTGGTCATTTTTTCTTCATATAACCTCTCTGCCTCTGAGCTTGTTAAAAGGTTTAAAGTAGGACCCCAGTTAGTATCATAGTCCAAGCAAAGTCCCATGTTCAGGAAATTAAAAGGAAGAAGATAAAAATCATTCAGTGAACTTATCTGTAAATTATAAGGATTTGAGATGCTAGCTGATAGTTTGCATTTGTAGTCCTGCAGTGGGTTTTCTCTCATAACACAACTACCACAATATGACAGTTTCGATATGAAATGATAAGTGGATTTGAACATTTTGATAAACATTTAATAGTTTAAGTCACTCATCAACTAAACAAGTGAAGCATTTGCAGATTACAGCTTCTCTTATATGAGAACTTGAGAATTATACTCAGTATTATATCATTGTAGATGGGATATTTTGGTATCTTGGACTATGTGTAGATATCCCTTTGTGATCTAGGAACATGTGATGGGTGATTCCCAGACTACGCCATTATTCTATCAGTTAAATAAATAAATCAGTAGTGAAAATAATCATTGGTTGCAGTCCTAATTACATAATGACTTTTTAAATTGGATCGGTGGTGCGATATGAGGTTTTTCAGTCATTTCTTCTGCAGCTCCTTTCCTCACTGCTGTGCACATAAAAAATTGAAGCTCATTGATTCCTCGCTTGAATTTAGTCATGAGGGATCTCGACACCACCCTGTCAGAGAAATCAAAGGCCAAATGTGCCTTTGGTCCGTATATGATCCCATCATTCTTCATCATTATTCTGTTCAATCTAGCAAACAAAAATGGGTCAATTTTTTACTGTGGATAATAAACTGAAACAGAAAACCTAAAAAACAAGTCTAATTTCTGTTATTGAGATATGTGGATTTCTAACTCTTCTTTACTGTGCACATGCGCTGAAAGTGACTGCTGCATACACCTCATGGGGAGCACGCAGAGTGCAAAAGTGGAATACTATCAAACATTTTCATGATTTCTCATGAGATTTAGTGTTTTTGGCAGATATTAACCTCTAGTTTCCGGTTCACCAGTGTCGACAGACCTGCATAACAATCATACAGGCATTGTTAGACCAGTGTGTGTGTGTGTGTGTTTATGACATCAGTAGGAAATTGCTATTTATGTACACTTGGTCACTCTTACAATTCTTCATTACAATTTATTTTCATTTTTTGAAATTTCAAAAATGCTTCACAAATTTTTTATTTGAATCTGCGTTCAAACCGTGCAGAACAAAATAACAGAAAAATAGAAATAAAACTATAGGGCCTGATATTTGGTTTTATTGTTTTTTAGATTACCTATTTCAAGAACAAAACAAGAAAACACATCCTCCATTAAAGTGGACAAAAAAAACGAATAAATTAAATTCTGACCCGTTATTCATTTGTCAGATTGAATGCAATATTGAATGGTCGGATGATCCACAGACCGCCTCTGTTTATTTTACTGTTATGTTAAAATGGAGGTGGTAAAGCAGCATTCATTCCATGTGTGCTAGCAGTCCTTTGAAAAAGATAAAAGAAGATGACTAGATACCCAACGTGGAGGAGAGAATGGTTGGAGTCTGTAGTGCAGACAGAGCTGGAGGCAACTGACAAATCTCAAATAATGCATTGCAAGTTGGGCAGTTTCCTTTCTGTCCTACGTGGCTTCCTACAAGCTCTCGGTGGCTGTTGCTGCCAAGACTGATGCAGATTTTGTGCTGACAAAACCAAAACTTAGCTTGAAAACTAGGTCACTGCCTCTCTGACCTGCTCACCTACTGTTCTCCATCCTGAGCCTCTGTTTTCATTCATGCATCCTCCAAACTGTGTTTCCAAACAACAAATACTACGTTTGTGTGTGGTGGTCTCTTTTACTGAAGTGCAGCCACATCCACATCACATTACAGACTTTTAACTATGTTTTTATATGAATCACAGAGCTGCAATATATATACATACTATACATATATTTATACACCTATTTCTTCCATCACATTCAAATCTGAGAGAAATGCAATACATTTTTACTTCTTAAATGAAATGACAGTCATTTCAATGGGGAATTAACATAACAGAGTCAGCTTTTGTTGTGCTCACTAAGCTAGACCCCTTTTGATAAATGCTGAGTGATTTTATGAATCATGAATTAACCATTATGTTTTAACATTTCAAACAGAGAGTGGGTGGTTTAATTTACCTCTCTGTTGAAGTCAAACCACTCTACCATGGCTGCAGGCTCGTGTCAATATTTATAAGCTTAAATTTAAACTTTATCATATTATATCAGGATTGAAGCACAACTGCAGTATATGAAAATATATCAGTAGGTGAATGTGTGTATATGAAGTTACATTATGTGACTTGAGACACTTGGTGTGTGTGGTTTGCTTTCACATCTGCAGTCATGAAGCTTTAGCTCAACATGCTGCTTTGGTATTTACAAAAAACTTCCTGGCTGTTATTAATTTAAGTCTTGCTCTTGTGTTCACAAGTGTTTGTTTTATGCTGCCTGGAGTGCAACATTTGGCAACATTTAAACGTTTACTGTTTAATAATGGATTGAACAGTGATCCAAGCTGACTCCATTTAAACTCTGGCAAACAGAGACAGGCTAGATGGAGGTAATATGATTAAAAAATGTTTAAAAAAGTCATGTTAAACAAAAACTCACGATTAGTAAAATACACTATATGGCCAGAAGTATGTGTTTGTTGTGGTTTCATTTTGCTTATTCAGATCCACATTAACTGCCACTAATGCAGAAGCTACTCTTCCTGGGCTCCACATACAACAAACAAAAAACACAACAGTGTTCTGGGGTTGTTTTTCATAGTTAGGGCTAGGTCCCTTAGCAGGTGTTAAAAGGTTAACAGTCATGCATTTAAACAACACAAGTTGGTGGGGGCATGTTGTTTCAGGTCCTGGTGAGATGGTGAAAAATGATCCAAAAAGTCTGGCTTGAGAAATGGATCCATGAGTTTGTAGGCTTATCAGACGGTAAAACAATGGACATTGGTTTATATACTACGAGACAGGATTTTACAACAAACATTTGACTGAACTACGCTGCACCTTGCTAAATGGAATCACATTAGGCCTTACCACCCAACTGCAGTGGCAAACCTCAATAAGGCTCCTGTGGCTGAATGTCAGCAAATCCCTGCAGCCAGGTTCTGAAATCTTGTGGAAGAGCGGAGGCTGTTACAGCAGCATATGATATACTGTAAGTGTCCACATACACCATGTAGTGAAGTTGCCTATGTAGAACGGGTTTATAATTGCCCAGAATCAGAGCACTAAAAACAAGGTGGTGACGCTGGTAAAATGTCAACATCCTAAAAAGTGTATGTGTGTACATGTTCTTCTATAGAGGTACAGGGTAAAATCTCATTAATTGTATTTTCTGACCAGAGTTTTATAAAGACTACAGCAGACAAACCCCTCATGTGGAAATATCACTTTGGGATCTTGGGACTAAGCCAAACCCTTGAAAGATTTTGTTGTTTTGGATTCAAGCTCTCTTGAAAACTACTGCATGTGTTTGTATTTGTCTGTAGGGGTGGAGATATCACTGATGTGCAGTCTGTTCTGAACACTGCCAGACTGCCCATCAACCCCTGAGAGATCCACTTTATGTAACAGAGCATTTTGGCAGACATGACTGGAACAGACAGTTAGGTTAGACAAACACTGCTGGCTATGGTGTGCATCTGTGTGTGTATGTGTGTCTGCCAGCTTGTGTGTGTGTTAGGATGTGTGTCTGTTTTGTATGTGGTTATGTGTTTTGTTATTTGTTCATGTCAGGTAGAGTGAGGTGCAGCATCACCCAGCATGTTTGTGGCTGTAGCTACATCGAGTAACATTACGCAGAGTGATGTAATGGAGAAACTGAGACAGCCAGGAGGAAAATATGGATGGATTATCAGACAGAGACACAGAAACAGAAATATGAAAGCAGAGGGCACCAAACAGGGAAATGAGCACGGAGGACTAAGAGAGGCAGACATAAAATTGGGTAGGAGTGAGTGTGGAAGTATTCGCTGTAATGATAAGACAGGAAACAAAAGGTCTGTCTACCTTGGGCATGTTATTAAATCAATTTGTGTGACACATACATCTTGAACATGTAAACCAACATTGACCTTGTTATATATGAATTGGAGTTATACTCGGTGTCACTATGCTAACGTTCATATGGGAGGCATGGACAAATGACCTATCTCGTTGTTTAGGTTGTAGGTCACATTCTCACTCCCAACTCATCACATCTAGACGCTTGGTCAAGACTCCATGCCATCACTTTTTAACACCCTTGGTACCCCTTTAGGATTCTTTTTGGACACCTTTGGATGTCAAGTAAGCAACAATAGATATGCAACATCTGGTTACACTTTCAAAATACATCTAGTCGTTAATGTTGTGAAACGGCACAATTTGGTTCAGTTTAGTCACCAAGACTACTTGGTTAGGTTTAGGAAAATATCATGGGTTGGGTTAAAATAACTATGTTACTTACATAACATACATAACCTAACAACCTAAAACAATTAATGTTTCTTTGTTTCACACTGGAAACAAACACCATCTTCTTGGCTTTAGAGTCCAGGTTAAAACTGAAGTTAACCTGGACACTAAAGCAAGACCGGTTAATGGCTGACAAGTGTATTAATCACTAAATAATCATCTTCTGTGAAATAATGTGTATATGTGGCACCTTTATGAACTGAACGATACAGACCTTACATTAGCTTGTGCTGTGAGTGACACCAAATGTTGGGCTCTTTATTTGTGCTGATTTAATATACATTTTTAAGGTAGTTTTATATATATATATATATATAGTTCTATATATACATTTTTAAACTCAGGGTTAAAAGTGAGCTTTCATGTTTTCAGTCCTATTTGGCAGAATAAGGGTAACGGTGAGCTAATGTCATGTGTGTGTCTGTGTGCATCCGTGTATGTATACCTTCTCTCCATTGGGGTTCCCCAGGACATAGCATCCCATTATGTGGATAAGGTTGGGTTCTGGGTTGACTTTACTCATAAAGCGACTAAGCCTCCTCCAGAATCTAAAGAAAGACAAAGGCTAAACTTACACAGGCCTGAGAGTTCCTATGAAATTAAATACACAAGAGCAAAATAAAAAGATCCTGTCCTGTTTACATTCACCAACAGCTCTAACAGCCAACAACAGATGTAACTCACTTTGACACTAAAGCAACAGTTTTAACAGAATATTATTCTACCAGAGTTACAGAACAGAAAGTGAGCCCTGTGTTTATATCTCCGAAACAAGTAATCCTATTCAAAGAGTGTCCCTCTGGGAGAGATGCTTCACTCAGAAAAGTAGTAAGTTGTGCTCATAAAGGAAAAATGTAGAGAGAATATTGAAATCCCAGGGGAACATCTTTGATTTAATCAAATCACAGACCGAAATAGTATTAAAAATCTGAGAATAGAGTAAAAATGAAAGAATCATTGATTCTTTGAAGGCCCAAAATGACAAATTAAATTTTTGGGAATCTTTGGGAATGAGCCAGTTTATTATGAAAGGCATTTTCTATTTCATTGAGCATATATTCAGATTATTGGTAGAATAATAGGCTCAATGAAAATGCAGCTAAGGTGTCTTAATGATAAAATACTACTGTAATACTAGTCTTTTCACATGGCCAAGTTTCTGATTGAAGATATTGTCAAAAGAAAGACAGTATAAGAATATCTGATGATAGGAGCCTCTAGGAGCCATGTGAAAAGACTAGCATTCATAGATACATAAATAACAGAGATAGACCCAGTGGTCCAGCGGTAACTTACTGGCTCATGTCCTCCTCCTTTTCCACCTTAGCAAAGGTCGCCACTTTATTCTTCAATAAATACAGGTGACCAGGGCCTCCCTAAGAAACACCCACAAGATTAAAACAAATTAGCTCTATCACAACTACCTGTTTGCCTCTTCTTAATTAAAATCTTGAGAGCTTAGATCCCAGAGGCAGGAACTTATCGCAGTCTAGCAGGTTCCTCAGGGAACTGCATGCAGTATATGCATATGTATGCCAGATGAACCTACAGTTTTACAGGAAATGCAGGATTTCTTTGGTTCCTTGGCTCATTGTTCCTCACCTGACAAAAGATGAGCATCCTCCAGAACTTGCTGCCTCTCCTGTAAGCTGTGAGCTTCTTTTCTATTTCCTCTGTGAGAGAAAAACAGGGTTGGATTGATGTGAACAGTGGGGACCGAGAACGGTAAGAGAAAGGAAAATGAAAAGAGGCAAGTAAGAACGTACTGAGAGAGGGAGACATGTGAACAGTGAACACAAAGGCGCTCTCAGGAGGGTGAGTTCAAGTACAGGTGCAGTAATAGACAGCAGAGACACTAATGTAAGATGTTGTTTAATTTGAATTCAACCGTGTGTATGTCAAAGCAAAAACACAGGTCAATGAAAAACAGTCAAATGGAAAGTGAAATCTATATGTGTAAATTATCATCTGACATCCTTTCAGTGACATGACTCTGTGTCAGCTTTATTCAATGCAGGGTTCATTATTATCATGGAAAAATCCAGGGACCATTTACTGTAAGTGCTTTTCGCTATACTTTTTTGCATAAAAAGGATTGGAAGTTATTTTAAACTAAGAAGAGGTAGAAGTCTTATACAATGGGTAAAAAAGCAGATACTAAAGTAAACAGAAAAATACTCACCCAAAATATCATCAAAAGTTGCATGCTCATGGTCCTATGGTAAAAAGACATTACCATAAGACATAATAATTTAACATCGTAATGTGTCTTTATCATAAAACACCTTTTTAAAGCTTGTATGCTTGGTTTATTCATGTATTGCAATGTGCCTGTCTGCACACTTGTCAAAGTGTTCAACTCACATAGAGGATGGGGATGATGGAGGGGTCATCCCTGCGGATTATAGTGGGAACGTACTCTGCCTTGGGGACCTTAGAGGAGATCAGCTGAAGGTGAAGGAGAAAGTAGGACGTGAAATAATGGAAGATGGGAGAAAATGGAGCAAATTAGGGGGGGAAAGGAAGAGAATGACAGAGTTTAGAGAAATTATAAGAAAGGGGGGAAAGTATAATATTCACAGTGGTATGGTAGAGAATACCTAAATTGCATTTAAGATACTGCACCTGAATATTTAAGGTTCGGTGTGTAATATAATAGAGAATCTATTGACAGAAATACAGTGATGATACATTCATGTGTTGTCAGAACAATCTGAATATTCTTCTAATGCAAAAAGAGAAATAAAGTGTACATAGGATATAAATAAGTATACAGAACTTTGTCTTCAAAATCACATATTGCATATACATATTTTGCATTTGTAATATGGTTATAACGATTAGTTTGCTGTACATGTAGAATGAACTAGATGTCTTATTTATTTGTCTTATATGCTCTGATAATGCTAATAAAACACATCTTCGTAGTAGCGTCCATGTTGATTCCACATTCCGAATTAAGAGCACAACGCACAATGAAGTCGGAAGAACGACTTCACAACTCGGGAAATGGGACCATCCGAGAAGCACTTAAATGCACTGAGTCACTGGTTGCAATTCGTAACCCTCACCACTAGATGCCACTAAAACTTACATATGTTTTATTGTGCCTCATTTACTAGGGATTAGAAAAAAAATAAAGATTTTCCAACAAATCCCTAGCCTACGTTTAGGTCACACTTCACTGAGAGTAAAAAAAATCTGCCAATGAAAACAAGTGTATGATGTTTGTGGCTATGGAGGGACCTTTCTAAAGTCTGAAAAAAAACTCTGATGACATCATCGGGGTTATTTCCGCTCGGGTTTGGGGACTACCAATGTTCAGCAGTAGGCCGGTGTTATAACCTAGCGGTATGGAGTTTGAAAGACACGCGCATTTACCAGGCAGAGAAGGTCTAACAAAGGATGCTACTGAGTTGCATTGTGGGAAATACATGATACAGTGTTTTGGGGCTCTCTGCATCTGCTGCTTAAAATTCGTTCACTTGTAGGTCTGCCAACTTTAACTCAATTGGTGGAGTACCCCTTTAAATAGGTATATTTTAGAATTGTTCTTGTTAATTTCTGTTAAATTGGTTAAATGGCTGATCTGAACTCCAGTGATGAAACAATGCTGCTGATTCCTGACTCCCAATGCAACGGCCCAATAATTCAGAGAGAACACACAAAACACAAACCAGGATATGAGTTAATAGAAATTCTTATTTGATTAAAGAATCTGCATATCATTACAATACTGATGTCTTACCATGATTTTGGGAGGTACAAAGTCATCTCCTTCACAGGCCAGCCTCTCCATCTCTCTCTCCTCCTCCCAGTCTATATTGTCCTCGAGGCCTCCTTCGTCCAGAGTACCACAGGAGGCCTGCAGGTCTCCGCCTAGAAGAAAATATAACACACCGATGAGGCAAAAGGCTTGAGATAATAGGGTGTCGGCAGACGTGTGGGGTGGGAGGTAGGAAAGGTGTCACAGAAAGAGAAAATCTGGGGTTGAAGGAAGAACATGTCCAGGAAGTGGAGAGAGGTGAGGTGCGGAGGAGAGGAAGAAGGATGAAGTTGTTGATAACCGTGGTGGCATAAGAAAATGACAGATGGAACAGGCAAAAGGTATGACAGCTGGTGGAAGCAGAAAAAAAGACTGACTGATAGTGTAGGATTTCTGGCATCAGCTAACAAGAAGAGCTATAAAAACCTAACTTGGATGAGAGGGCGGCTTTTCTAAGAAGGGAAGATGTTACGTACATTCAAATCAGGCTTCTCTGACATCATAATGTACAGTATATATATTTTTATCTTAACATGTACCAACTGAATAGTATTGTGAATAGGGTGAGGTTGTGTTTAGTATTTTGAGTTGCAAGATCACACCGAAATATAATAGTATCGCTATCAATAAATTAAGATATATCAGTATTGTAGTGTAATAATGTCTAATAGGAGGGATCCTTCTTGGTAAGAAAGGTCCAGTGGTTATTTTTGGGTGACCAATGCTATTCCAGGGATCCTTATTTAAAATGTTCATGTTAAAAACAATTGGCTGATATGTCATTTGAGGATAAAAAAAAAATCTATGTTGCTATCTGCCTCAAAAGTCCAGTATCAAACAAGTTCTAGTTCAAATAAAATAAGCTGTTGTTCAGGGTGAAATAGCAGTTTGAAAAGGTTGAATTAAAGCAGGAGAGTATGAAAAAATGGGAGAAGGACAAGCACGTTTGACAATTAATATCACTCCTCTGGGGAACAATACCTTTCCCTCAGGAAAAGGGAAGAGTGAGGGATGTACCACATTAGACTGCCATCAACAGTTCATTTATCTTTCATCACACTCTGAAACACAGAAACACTGACGATGGAGATGGAGAAAAAACATAAAAACCACAGATACTCAGACATCAACATAGACAAACAGCACATGAAAACAGCTTGTGTTGATTCATATATTCAAAGCCTTTTAGAAACACTTCACATGCGTCCTTGCATCAGCTTGACACGCTCAGACTGAGACGGACACTCCATTTTGGGGAGACGTACTCACAGAAAGAGAGAGCATCACAAAGTTGAAGAAAGACCCACGGTCATAGGGAGACAGATGGACAAGGTCAGAGTCAACAGCAGAGACAGTCAGTTTGTATGTGGTATTGTGTGTTTTATGTGTCCATGAATTTTTTTTGTCAGTTCTTGATCTGCCAAAACCAGGAAATGAGCTGTAAAACTTTGATGATAAAATGTTACCTTACTTCAAGAGAGAGGTCTGCAAAACATACGGTGAAGTAAACTGTCATATTTGGAGTCGTATTTGACATGTGTCTGTTTTTAGAGGTTGCAGAAAGTGGCTTTAATTTTCATGTAACTAAAGCACCATCAACAACGCTGATAAAAATAGGAGTCGGTATGGAAGAAGTTTAATTAGCAATAGCATAATAGAAAAACATTTAATTACTCAGTTCAGCATTCAAAGTTTTACTTAAATGTTAATATGCAAAAGTGTCTAAAACTACTACTCAAAGAAAAAAAGAGCTTCGTAGCTTTGCTGTCAGGTGAATGTTTATCAGGACTCTTTTTATCTGGGTGACCTTCATTTAAGGCTACAAATGATTTGGCCTCATTCCAGCCGTAGTAGAAGTTGGCTCATGCTGTAAATCAAAGTGCTGATTACCAGAACTTTTTTTATAGCTGACAAATGCTGCTTAAGTGGCTCTCAACTCTCTGCATGAGCCTCCTGCATAAGCAAATTAATTAATGGTAAAAGTACTGAGTGAGCAGAAAGCAAATTCATGCTGTAATCAATCTGCCAGTCAAGATGTGAGGGCACAAAGCGTCAGAGGGGTAATTTATGACACGCAGTAGACTGTTCAAAATATGTTCTCACAATTCTCACTGCAGCTGTTTTGGAAGATGTAAACACTTGAGAACAAGAGTTTAAGAGAGACAATTTTGATTAACATCTTGAACAGGATATTTTTTTCTGTATCTGGCAGTTACTGTGATATTTAATTTATCAACTTGTCGCCTGATGCCAATTTGGCCTGTGGGGGCAACAGACAATGTTTTGGGGCTTCTGGTGTAGCAAGTGGCTATCCGGATATCCAGGCCAAGACTTCCTCTTCCATGTACTGATCATTGTTTACAGTCTGATTAGCAATCTCGGAACCCATCAGCTATTGTCTGGCGATGTGAATGCAGATCGATTTTAAAAATCTAATAAAAAAACTTTAAGGCTTTAACCAAAGCCTAAATGTGATTGGCGGCTTGGACTACAAACAGCTTCTAATACCAGAATCTTGACCCTTGCCAATAGATTCTGCATTCATATGCAGACATCTGTTTATTGAGATTACAGTTTTGTCTATAAACAAATGAGAATGTCAGTTGACTTTGCTGGGAAGTAGGTTGACAATATTTAAAAGGTGAGGTCCCACAGGTCATGGTCAATGTTTTACGTTTTGTATGATAGAAATACAGACTGAGAATTTACGAATGGAGTACCTTTTCTATCTTTGTGATGCTACTAAAAAATAGGTTTGAGAACAAAACTATCCACACTCACAAATGGGGGATTTAAGAAAGTACAAAAATACACCAAGGTAACTACATAGTTAGCAAGCAAAAAACACATAACTTACTAATTAAATTATTGTTGGAGGCTTAAAACCTCTATTATTCTCACAAGAATGTACTTGCATGCTCTCAAAACATGAGCCTTGATTCTCTTTATTGCCATGCAAATAGTTTTGGGGCCATCAACATTCACGCAAATGTCCATGTTTGTGTTGTGATGTTACTTAACTAGAGTTAAAGCCTACCCACTGCAATTGTCATAAAATGTATGTGCGTGTTTGTCGGTGTGTGTGTATACATGCACGTGAGTGACTCTGTGTTAACTCACTGTCTCTGGGTTCATGGGGAGAGTCAGTCTTGACAGGGGTGGGGTCACTCCAGGAACGGCTGAAACTCTTCGATCTACGCTCAGCGAATGCTAGTACAGGTGGGGAGAGATAGTCACACACACACACGCACACCCCAACAAGCCCGCACACTGGTTGTTTCCTCTATACACTCATCACCTAGAACACATAAGTGCAAAGGCGGATGCGGCAAGTTCACAAATATAGTGTGCATACAATGCCATCCCTTCTCTGCACGAACGTACAAACAAATGCCTGCACATACAAACTGTCGAACAAACATACAATATGCCTTTAGCATTAGCATCGTAAGGATTTAAAAGACTGTTCTTGTTTCACAGATTTACTGAGCTACGATTCGTCGATAAAATCAGCTCTGCTTTGAACAGTAATCAATGTGCTCTTAGAATATTTTAAGACTACTTGAAAGTGTTTGACATGGTTAATCAGCCATTTTTTTTGGCCTCTGTAGTTTCAAGGCCAATGGAACCTCGCTAATGCTTCTCTGTTCATTTTGCTGCTGATACCAACTCGCTCTTTTCAAGTACAAATATTGTTTCATTAGCCAGGCATTCGTATGGTCAACTTCGGTCTCTTTTTGTCTTTTACATGATGACATGGACATTTTTACATTATAAGGTTCCTTTTAGAAATAAATGTTTTAATCATATCAAAACATTTTGTCCTATTTTGTGATCTCAACATCACAAATATTCTGTGATCTTGACTAGATCTTTGACTTTTATAGTCAGAACCAGATTTGGGCCAGTTTCAATTGAGATATCATTTATTTAATTTGGCTTAATCAACACTGCCGTCTTGCCACCAGATTCTGTCACCTGAGGAGCATGCCAGGTCACCCGAAGAAATTAGCTCCAGGAGAACTCATTCCTCCTCACAGCAGGGAGAGTCTGAGGTATGGACTGCATCCTGCATACAGGCAGAAACTAAAACTCTGTAAACCTGTGGAGAGGACATCTAAGCACTGGACCAATGAAGCTGTAGAGGACCTTCAGGCGTGTTTGGAATGCCTTGACTGGGATGTTTTCAGGACGGCCACCAACAGTCTGGATGAGTTTATTGATGCTGTGACGTCCTACATCAGTTTCTGTGAGGACAACTGTGTACTATCATGGAACAGGGTGAGTTATAACAATGACAAACCCTGATTCACAGCTAAGCTCAGACAGCTAAGTTTGGAAAAGGAGAAGGCATTTAGGAGTGGGGACCGAGCCGGGTGCAGGGCGTTAAAGTACAGGCTTAGCAAGGAGGTGCAAGATGCTAAAAAGCTGTACTCAGAGAGACTACAACACTAGTTCTCTGCAAATGACAATGCCATTTCTGTCTGTAGAGGGTTCAGACAGATCACAAACTACAAATCCAAAGCCCCCCACTCCATCACCGAGTCGCCTGCTGCTTCGAGAGACAATCGGACACCCTCCGCTAAGCCCCAGTCCACCCACGTTTCAAAAGGGGCCAGCTCCACCCCTCCCCCCCCTCTCCATTTCAGAGAGCGATGTCAACAGACATCAGACATTCAGGAAGCAAAACCCCTGCAAAGCAGCTGGACCGGACCCGTCCACCCTAAAGCACTGTGCTGATCAGCTGTCTCCAATGTTCACAGACATTTTTAACACCTCATTGGAGACATGCCATGTGCCAGCCTGCTTCAAAGCCACCACCATCATCCCTGTCCCCCCAAAAAAACAAGGACCACAGAACTAAATGACTACAGACCCATCACCCTGACATCTGTGGTATTAAAGTCTTTTGAGCACCTTCTGTCCTACCTTAAATCCATCACAGACCCACTCCTGGACCCCATGCAGTTTGCCTACAGAGCAAACAGATCTGTAGACGACGCAGTTAACATGGCCCTTCACTACATCCTCCAGCACCTGGAGTCCCCAGGAACCTATGCCAGGATCCTGTTTGTGGATTTCAGCTCTGCAAACAGCTGCACCTCAAGTCACCAGTCCATCAAGCTCCTGAAGTTTGCGGATAACACCACCCTCATTGGGCTCATCTCTGGTGGGGATGAGTGCTCCTACAGGTGGGAGATCGACCATCTGGTGACCTGGTGCAGCCAGAACAGTCTGGAGCTCAACACTATGAAGACAGTGGAGACGGTCATGAACTGTTTCAGTCACTCCCCTCTGGCAGGAGGCTGCGGTACATCAGGACAAAAACCTCTAGCCACAAAAACAGTTTCTATCCTTCTGCAGCTAGCCTTATTAATAAGGCCCTGGTTCCTCACTGACACTCCCCCCTTCCCTCTCAAATACTGTATATCTTTGCACATGTAAATATTATTTAATATCACATCATTGTGCGTACCTGGTATATTGCACATATTTGTTGCTTATTGTAAAGTGTTAATCGGTTATTTTTCTTCTATATTTTATGTTTTGTCAATCTATCCCATATTTATATATTTCTACATTTATTTATGTAAACTGTATGTTTGTCTTTGTTTGTCTACGTGTCGCACCTTAACTCCAAAACAAATTCCTCGCATGTGTAAAAACTACTTGGCAATAAAAGCTTTTCTGGTTCTGATTTGTGATTCGTATTCTGATTCTGATGGAACAACTTTGACATGACAGCCAGCAGCAACATGACTTGGGGTTTTAGTAAATGTCTACAGTGCAAAAATCTGCTTACAGTACAAAATTTGGGGAGTTAGTCTCTGCAATGATAGGTGACACATTTAGGTTTTAATTAGGTTCAGGTTGGTCTGGCAAAACATTTAACTTTTATACACTTCCAGTACCTTAAAGTACATTTCAGATTGCTCATTGCTCTGGGTCATTAGTGTTGAAATATGAAAAGAAAAAAGTACTTAACATCATGTTTACAAATCCTTAAAGTCAAAAAATTGTAGAGAAATGTGTTTAACTTGAGCTTCCACATTTGCTACCAGGTTTGCACATATCATACTGTATAGTTTGAACACTGACCTACTTTCACATGAACGCTGCATCTAAATTTGACACAAATAAAGATTTAATCAATATTTTGAATCATTGGGTCATAGACAAACTAGTTTTGGCTTACTTTGTCATCATTCTTTCCATTCAGTTTTTAAAGTAAAAAAAAATGGACAAGCTAATCAGTCACATAACAAAAGTACACTCACATTGCCACTGAAGCCACAACCAATCCAGAACGAGGATTATGTTTTCTATCAGTGTCTTACAGATCTGCATTGACTCGCACATTCAAACACCCTTTTCATTCATTACCAATCATCACTTTGCTTTTTTCCTTTTGAAAATACATAATTTAATGTCTTTGTCTTTAAACAATAAACCCCAAACATTCAAAGCGATGCAACAGGAAAAGCTCACCAACAGCTTACACTCATATATGCACAGACTCATATCGTTGACTCATAGAACAAACACTGGCGAACATATAATCCTCAAGGAAATGCAACAGAGGTTCCAGCAAAGTGGCATTTGGTATCACACACGTGCAAAAACACACCGGAAAACAGAGAACAAATACAGATGATGACGGGGTGAACAACATCACAGTCAGTTTGAGCAAACATATCAACCACACACACATCTCTGACTCACTCTGTGCTTTAATCCTTCTGCTGCCCACCATCCGAAGATGCTTGCGGAAGTTCCTGTGGGTGGAGAAATCAAAGCAGAGGAGGGACAACAGAGGACAGAGGAAGGTCCAAAACGCAAAGAAGAGAAAGAGGAAAGAGGAAGGGGGTGGGCGGGAAATAAAGCAAGGCAAAACAAAAAGAGGAGACTTTAGTGTCAAGCTATTATTTCTACTGAAATAGATTGAAAAATAGATAATTATGGGTAAATATACACATTTCCTTGTCAGTGTGAGTGGAATATACTTCCACCCAGGAGTAGTGTGGGTGTACAGTAATGTACCACATTGCCAAAGTACCTTTATAGTGTAGATTTATGAGACGCCAGAGATTAATTCACGTAACAACAGCCAAAAGGGAAACACTGCTTTAGTATTTTGTAGGAGTTGATGCATCTGCTCTTAGCAGAGCCACATTAGACACAATGACAGTGCATCTGAGGGAGTTTGTTCTGCCAAACTGGTGCATAATGTGTTTTCCTTTACTTTGTTCCAGGCAGATAAGATGTTGCGTTGTTGCGTCTGTGTTCAATATTGGAAAGTTCATGCCTGATTGAATTGATTTATGTTTGAGGCTCAGTGTTGGGTAGTAACTAGTTACATGACGATCCACAAGGCACTGCTCTACTTTATCAATTTCACTTTAATTTATCTCCATCATAGTTCCCTATTAAATCCTGCCTGCACAGGGCCGATGGTGAGCCAGCACTGCTAGCTTGGTAGTCCAACATTCCTCTTTTACATTGTGTTTCAGATTTTTATTAGACTATTATTTCTTCTGATTGCAATGCAAGACACTGTGGATTGCAAATTTGATGGCATCTAATCATAAGCTAGCAAGTAATGGCAGCTGAGTTAATTACTCTACAGCCATGGGCGCCGTATAGGGTGGAAAAGTTCCAAGAACAATTCCAATGGCCCATGACTGACAGGTAAACTAATATCAAATTATATTATATTATACATTATATAAACCATCATCATTGAGTATAAATATATTTCAAATATAATAGTAAAATGAATGATCTCTTTGTTTTTACTTGTTTTTGGCAGTAACAGTTAAAAATCCCCATTGACCAAAAAGTAAACCTCCATATTGACCGACCACCCCCCTGTATCTGCATTAAATGGTCTGGTCCTGCCGTAGCGCACACATCAGTGACGGTGTTTGGATGCAGTCACTAGATGAGCCAGAAATACTGTGATAACAATGTTGCCTAGTAAACCCAAATCAGGTTTTCAAAAAAGGAAAGAGAGAAAAAAGAAAGAGGAAAGACAAAGGAAAGGATGTAAACCCAGTTTTCCCCCAAGAAAGGTGGGTTGGCTATAGTCTGTGAGTGGTTTTAACCTGTTGGCTTAATGTCCACAGTGAAATAAGCTGGCTACAGCCTAGTGTTAGCCTACATTTCATCAACATTCAATCAGTGCAAGGAAACGTTTAGCAAGATATTCATTTTAAATCACTGTCCCTGCCCCTTTTAGCAGACTAACAACAGATGAGTCCGCAGCACCCCAGTCTCCCCATAACTGTAGCCTCCATGTCCCAGTGAAGAAGGGGAGTTTAATGTGTTTAGTGTGTTAATGACATGCCAGTTAGCATCATTCCAGGGAGTCTGTGGGGATTTCTCTGTCTCTCTTTTTACCATAACAAAAAAGAAAATGAAATATTTATTAATGACAGAAATTGAAACACAAATTATTCTCACATAATTATCATTATGAAATAAAAAAATAAAATAAAAACTTCCTGTCTGTACTGGATGCTGGACAGCAGCTTACCTCAGTCTGCATGTAAGTTACAGACTACAGGTGCTGGACATATAATTAGAATATCATCAAAAGCTGACTTGACAGCTGTCCAAAAGACGACCACTGACACCTTGTACAAGGACGGCAAGAAATAAAAAGTCATTGCTAAAGAGGCTGGCGGTTCACAGAGCTCTGTGTCCAAGCACATTAATAGAGAGGCGAAGGGAAGGAAAAGATGTGGTAGAAAAAAAGTGTACAAGCAATACGGATAACCGCACCCTGGAGAGGATTGTGAAACAAAACCCATTCAAAAATGTGGGGGAGATTCACAAAGAGTGGACTGCAGCTGGAGTCAGTGCTTCAAGAACCACCATGTACAGACGTATGCAAGACATGGGTTTCAGCTGTCGCATTCCTTGTGTCAAGCCACTCTTGAACAAGACACAGTGTCAGAAGTGTCTCGCCTGGGCTAAAGACAAAAAGGACTGGACTGCTGCTGAGTGGTCCAAAGTTATGCTCTCTGATGAAAGTAAATTTTGCGTTTCCTTTGGAAATCAAGGTCCCAGAGTCTGGAGGAAGAGAGGAAAGGCACAGAATCCACGTTGCTTGAAGTCCAGTGTAAACTTTCCTCAGTCAGTGATGGTTTGTCATCTGCTGGTGTTGGTCCACTGTGTTTTCTGAGGTCCAACGTCAACGCAGTTTTAGAGCACTTCATGCTTCCTGCTGCTGACCAACTTTATGGAGATGCAGATTTCATTTTCCAACAGGACTTGGCACCTGCACACAGTGCCAAAGCTACCAGTACCTGGTTTAAGGACCATGGTATCCCTGTTCTTAATTGGCCAGCAAACTCGCCTGACCTTAACCCTATAGAAAATCTATGGGGTATTGTGAAGAGGAAGATGCGATACGCCAGACCCAACAATGCAGAAGAGCTGAAGGCCACTATCAGAGCAACCTGGGCTCTCATAACACCTGAGCAGTGCCACAGACTGATTGACTCCATGCCACGCCGCATTGCTGCAGTAATTCAGGCAAAAGGAGCTCCAACTAAGTATTGAGTGCTGTACATGCTCATACTTTTCATGTTCATACTTTTCAGTTGGCCAACATTTCTAAAAATCCTTTTTTTAATATTGGTCTTAAGTAATATTAAAATTTTCGGAGATACTGAATTTGGGATTTTCATTAGTTGTCAGTTTTAATCATCACAATTAAATTAAATTAACATTTAAATTATATATGTCTGTGTGTAATGAATGAATATAATATCCAATGGAATTACTGAAATAAATCAACTTTTTGATGATATTCTAATTATATGACCAGCACCTGTATATTAAAATAATCCAGTTTGATACGTTCATTTAGAATTATGGCCGTTAGTCTGTATCTACAGATGTCATTTTCTTATTCCCATCATGAAGGGCAATTTATTTTAGAAGCAAATAGTGAACTGCATCCTCTTGTGCTAATATTAGTCACTTGCAAGCCTTTAATTAGAGTTATGTAAAGCTTTTGATCGGACAGTTAAGTCATAGAGATGTGGTGACAACAGCTGCGCAGAGGAGGTCCAATTTGATTTTTTTGTCATGGGGCCCAAAATTCCTGGCGGCCCCCCTGTCTACAGCACTTTCATTTCCGAACTGTGAAGGTCAAACAGAGGCTGTACGTTTTTTGTTGTTATTTTCCCAAAGCCTGTGTCATAACCAATTTCACACTAGTGCTTTGAGACTGAGTAACTTCTACATTCACATACCATAGGCAACCTCAATCTGTCGGAGCGTGCGACTGCTGACCGAGAACAACCCAAACATCCGTACCTTCACTGTCAGTGTAAATACATTCAGTTTAACTGTGCCACTGCAACAATGAAAGTGAGAGCAAAACACACAAGAGTTTTTTATTGTTCATATTCTATTATTTTTATTATTCTAGGATGCCGATACAATGTCGGGCAAAGGGATTGGCGTTGAAAACTAGCCTTTCAGCTAACACGGGTGTTCTTTTTTTTTTTTCATCTAGCTGTGGATTCATCTATACATGATGCTGTATACCTGACAATACTGGCTGGCTAATTATGGGTCAGGCTCCATTTGAGGGTTACATGATCAAACAACAAATTTCGAAAAAGTGACTTTCTGCCTGATCTTGACACGATGTTCTATGCAAGAGCCCCAGATAAACATCCTTTTATCTCTCTGCCTCCCTCCCATGTCACATCTACACACAGTTTCAGTACATCAAACAGTCAACACTCATGATTAATGATCTCAGCATGTGGTGTGTGTGTGTGTGTGTGTGTGTGTGTGTGTGTGTGTGTGTGTGTGGATCCATGTTGATCTGGCTATGGGGAAGCACATGAAAACACAACATAAATGGGTAAAAATAAAATTGTGAGTGTCTTTGTCCTTGGTTTACCTCCATAAACATGTCAGTTCACTTGAAACATTAAACAATGAATTTAACAGCTAATTTTATGAGCAACACAAATTCCATCATGCCAAAACATTAACAGCAAATATAACAGTACTAATTAAAGATAAGCAACATTGCTGTTATTGCTTTGTACTCTGATAAAGCATTCTAAAACACACTAATACGCAGAGTGATCTTTTCACCTTGAATGTCCTGTGCTTAAACCTCAGCTGCCCACAAAAGAGAGGTGTGGAGACAGTTTATGAGATTTAGAAAGACAGAGAGGAAATGGGAGAGAAACCATGCCCACCCCCACCTCCAACTAAAGAGAATCCCCCTGCCCTTTCTTCAGCCCTTTTTGTAACCCTCTGTAACTTATTTCCATGAGTTTATCCTATTTAAATGTTCCATATTTTCTCCTATTATTTGTATTTTACTTCCTTTGATTCTCTGCTGCCTGCTCTGTTCCATCTGCTATTTACTGCTACGGATGTACCAATATAATACAATTTGAAATAAGTGAACTATCACCTAAATGATTCATTCCACAAAATAAGGATTCATATTTTAAAAAGTAATATTTACAGACTTCATTGTTAATATTCTAAATGTCTTAGGCTAATATCTCCACCCACGCTGGCGTTTTTATTGCTTTCATAAAGTTTGCCATCCAGATCAAAATCAAATAAAATACAAAAATGCTTCAATCTTAAGCCAGCAGCTCTATGATATATCTGAAGATAAGCTATCTGTTGCTAAGTGTTGTTTGTTACTTAAAGAGGAATCTGGCTGAGGAACAAAGTGTTCCACCAAGTCGTGAATACAATGCACACTGAATGGTCAAGAAATATCAGGTCTCAGGTTCACACCGGAACACAAGAGTGGTATTTTGTAATTTAGTTTTCTGTTTGATCTGTTTTCAGTGATCAAACACCCTGCTTAGTGAGAATTGAAGACAAAAATCAACAATCAACTGATTTTCAAAATTTGGCAACCTGAGGGTGGACGTGGCCTAAGTGTGATCCTATTTTTTTCAGGTGGATGCAGGATATTATTTCCAGTGCAAGGAGGCAAAATGTTCCTACAAGTTTTTTCTGCTACTTTTATTCCTCATGTTCAAATCACTCATTTTGATGAAATAACACACAACGTTAATGCAGTGACACTGCAGATGGATGACACCGAGATGTCAAAGGAATTGAGATGTACAGCATGGTGTCACATTCACCATCTGCCCCTGTGTGACGGAGCATCTGGACCTGAGTGGGATGGTTTCTGAACTCGTTACCGATGTCATTACTCGATGTCATTACTCCTGCACGCGTTTTACCAATGGTTTTTCAAATGTTATTTTTCCAAACTATGCTATTTTCTGGGACAGAATGCTGCAGGAACATACTAGCTTGTACTGTAGGTTTGAATGCTGTCTCTAATGAACGAATTATAATGGCACATTTTGCAACCCAACTTTCACAACCTTTTACAAAATCTTTCTTAAAGATTAGGTACAAGTTTGCAACCGGTACAGTTAATCTAGGTGTGGCAGAGTAGAATCCACAATACCAGTAGATTTATCAGAGGTTTTTTAATCACCCATACGGTGTGTACCCGTTTTGATCTTTTCGGTTTTGTCTAAGAATAAAAATCCGATTCATTGTGGTTGGCACTCATAATCTGGCCTTGGAATTGGGGCACTGTAGGGCAGGGCATCCAGTAAGCAGATCCTTTCGAAAGCTGCTGACGTTCTCACACCTTCAAATGCCACGTTGTGACTCTTTGGCTTAGTCAGATTAGACACGGCTGTAAATATGCAAGCTATAGCCAGAAACAAGAGCAAACGGCGCTCAAGCAAAGCACACCCTGGTGGGGGACGCTTCATACCTCTGGATGACTTCTGCCGAATTCTGCTCCCTCTCTCTCCTTTTTCTCTGCACAAATCCCCGAAAAGCCCTGCCAGGACGTGGCACAGTATTAAAGGGATGAGAGGGGGAGAATGCTGGCGTAGCGAGGGGTAGGACAGTGCAGGGAGGCTGATGCCAGGGCTTTTAGCTGCAGGGTTTATTTGGCTGTGAAGGGAAGGCTGTTGTAGGTAGGTAGCAGCTATCTTTGACTATAAAGACCAGAAAGTCAAATCACATCAGCAGCTCAAACCAAATTTTCTATTCACCCCTGCAACAAATGCGCCAGTCTGCATGTGATATAATCCATCTTCCAATAGTGACACCGATCTTGTCTTCATGTGACTTTTCAGTTGTTCCACTTGAGGTGTAATTCTTAAAAGGAATAGTTTGTTTTGGGGAATTTCACAATTCTTGATATTTTACCAGAATCAGTCATGGACCCTTTTTTATATCTTTATATGCAGTTTAAAGGTAAATTAAGATTTGTCCTTACATTAGCTTCATTAAGCTCCCGGAGGTCTGTGGGCTCAAGTAGCAGCTCCACTCTAAAAAGTGTACATTCTCCAATCCTGTGGATCTAATACTTCCTACTCACAGCCTGGAGCTTCTTTTTCTTAAAGCTGTGATCCACTAGCAACAGGTGGACAGCAAAGTTGTTGTGGAAGCCTGCCATTCATTTTAATCAGCCTTGAAAATGTTCTAGCAGAAAGTGATACCACCGGGCTCATGTGGGACTTTTATGTGTCAAAGTACAAACATGGTGTGAAATGCATCACTGTCAATGTGTGATTGTGTCTTCAACAGACTTGACTGTCTTTAACCAGGAAAGGGGGTCGCACCACAATCCTGTGAAACTGATAACATTTGTCCATAGCAGAGACAGAGCTAGAGAGCTAGGGCATCTCCAACCATGTTAAACATAGTTTGTGTGTTTGTAAGTATTTTGGCTGGAAAGAGGCTTGTAAAATCCCACCAAAACAAAATGTCCTGTTAAAGGCTTAAGGCTGGCATTATTTGTTATTTTTCATACTGTCAACAAATCCCATAGAAAGACCCAAACCAACAATGCATTAGTCTGTCTCTCAATACTTTCTGACTTAGGGACAATTTCAATACACATTTGGTGCGCTGTGATTATACCAGGGGGGCATCTGTGGGCTTTACTCAAAATAAACTACACCACCCATGTTCATTGCAATGGAGGAATGTGTTACCCAAAGCCAACTGTCTGGCTCAATAGCAGCATGGTTGGTCGGTCCACCACCATGTTCCAGACTGAAATATCCCAACCACTATTGGATGGATTTCCATGAATTTGGTACAAAGTCCTACTTTTCCTCTAGTGCTATTATCAAATATTTAAATTTGTCTGATACTTTGGGTATGACTAAAAACCTTAAAAACTAATGACAAACTAATAACATAAACAAAGTAAACATTAACATCCTGCTAAAGGTCAGAATATTAGCATTGTGATTGTGCTGCTATGCTGACATTCACATTTTACTCAAGGTACCAATGTGTCTAAGTATAGCCCATGGATGTATTAAGACCACCATTAAGAGTAAAACTGTTGAGAGGACACCTCCAGCTGCAAACAAGGGCAATTACTACTTTTTGTAGTTTTTAATTTTTAATCTATCCATCCATTTGTAAAACTTTGTAAGTGTGTGACATCATCAATCAACACCAATGCTCATGTACAGTGGGCCGTACAGTACTAAAGTAAACCCGGAAGCAGCGGCGTATAGCCTCATAAAACTGCTAGCATGGACAACCATGAAGGCACTACTAGGTACTACATAAGGTCTACAGTAGAGGAATAAGATTTATCTGGGGTTGGCTACACAAACAATATTTTATAAGTCATCAGTTTTTTTTGTCTTTTCACAGTATTTGTTGACAATAAGAAAAATAAATCACCAGCTTTATCCTGTAGGCTTATTATTGTAAGAATTTGCAGAAACCCAAGCTACTTTCAGCTAGCAGCCAGAGGTTAGCTTGGTCAACATACAAAGAACAAAATTTATGAGCAGCTTGAGTTAGTTGGGTTTAGTTAGGCAAGGTGTGGCTGGAGCAGGGGTTATGCAGTATGAAATGTCAAGGCTTGGCTTGGTTTAGGCATTATACTATTATGTTAAGATGTATCTGATTGCTTAACCTACTTCTCAGCTAGTCTAAACACTCAGGAACCATTTGAGAGAAGTTTGTGATTTACACGCAAGAAATTTCATGCTGATCTATCTACCAAGGTTTTATGTGACTTATTAGATAGCTAGATTAGATAGCTGAAAACGGACTTCTTTCTATCAGATAAAACTTTTTAACCAGAAGGCACTAGGGATCACATGTTAGCACTATAAATACTTGTTCATAACAGTCTCTCCAGAGCCAATTTCCACAGTCAGTTCCAACACGTCTAAAGTCAGCCAGCACAGATTCAGTGATAACTGGCAACGACTGTGGAGCAGGATTAGAGCACTAACATGACTGCCACAAAAATCTTAAATGGCCAAACACTATCCATAGCTGTGTCCTAAGTGAAGGGCAGGTGTGTGTACAAAACTGACAGAACTGCTGGGTGGATGTGAGCCGATAGGGTTTAGGTCAGCCAACACACAGATGGACATTTTCCTGACTTGAGCTTGGCAGACTTACTCATCTGCAGTGGATTACACTGGACTTTATCCCTGTTGTTCATGAAAATCCTGTAACTCAATTTTCCCCCCTTTGGCTTTTTTTTTACTGGAATTGAAAGACATTATTTGTGCTGACTAGGCTTCTACCTTTACAGTATGTGTGCTGTCTTAGTGCTTAAGGCCAGAATAACCCAAACAATAAAAGGTTTCACCTTGATACAAAGAATTACTCAGACCTAGCCACCCACACACATACACATCCACACAGACCTCACTCAGCCCAAGGATGAAGGTTAAATGGTAGACATCAAAGTTAAGGAATAGCAGTTAAGAACAAGAGGTAAGTGAGCTAAGAAAAAAATTGAACCAGGCAGAGAAGTATACTCACGATATCCTGTTTGAGTGTCCAATGTTTCATTAGCATACAAGAACAAAGGAGAGAGAGAGAGAGAGAAAAAACAAAGTTAGTTGAAAAAACGGAAAGGGGAAGAACTGGGAGAGGCATAATGAGACAGAGACAAAAAGAGTGTGTCAACTTGCGATGCAACATAATTGCTACTGGTGTGTTCTTATTTAATGGGTCAAATGAACAATCACTTTTATATACTGACTGAGTTTGCTTTTATGCTCTGAACATGGTTTAACATCTAGTACAAGATTAAAGTGCAAAAAGATACATTTAAAAAGAGCTAAAAAAAAAAAGTCAGTGATAGTCAGGCAGAAGCAGACTGGACGCTGCTGGAGATTCTACGTTGTGATGTGAAGTGATTGTGACAGCTCAGATATCTTTTAGAGCTGCAGGCGATCTGAAGACAATCTCAGGTCGCTATTATACTCACACCTTTAAGGAGTCACATTATTTTTAATGTTCTTAATTTAGAAGAACACACTGTTGGATTTGCATGTTTTAGCTCATTAACTACAAACTGCATATACCTTACATTAATGTACACATTTTTAGCCGTGCTAGCAGCATGCCTCTGGGGATGGCAATGCCAATTTGTAGGTTGGTTGGTCTACCACGTTGGTCCAGACTGAAATATGTCAACAGCTAATGGACGGATTGCCACAAACTTTTGTACACACGTTCATGGTACATATAGGATGAATTATAATCAGTTCAAAATGTCTGTTCATCCAACACTACAAAACTAATGACATTCCCACCACCAGCCTCAGCTTTACTTTATGTTTAGTGCTACTGTAATTAGTAAATGGTAGCATGTGAACGCACTAAACTGAGATGGTGAACATTGTAAACATTCTGCCTGCTAAACGGCCTCATGTTAGCATTTTTCTTGTGACCATGTTAGCATGTTGATGTGAGCATTGAGTTCAAAGCCCTGCTGTGCAGCCTTACACAGCTGCTAGTATGGCTGTGGACTCTTAGTCTTGATAGATCCATTTATTAGATTTAAGGGAATCATTGGTTTATTTCAGAATGCTAAAAAAAAAAAACAACTTGCAAATCCTTGAAACTTGCAAGTCAACGACTCATCATCTTCATTTTAATCACCTTTATTTTATTGACAAACAGTGTTGCTAGTGTTGAAAATTAAATCTAAAAGATCAACAGTCAAACATAGAGGATGTGGAAATGATAATGAGAATCAGCCTGATAACCCTATTCCTACCCCTAACCCTAACAATCAGCAGTTAAATCTCAGATGTCAAATGGTCCTTGAAAAGTACCAACAAGGAGATCTTTCAAAACATGTCCTGCTTTCCACTGCTTTACCATGCATCAATTATTTAACTTTAAGCCAAAAAATAAAAAGGATTGACAAAATATTCACTATGAAAGATTGATCTCCTTGAGCGGCCTTTAATGGTCTGTAAGTTGATTTTTATAGCTTACTGAAATAAAAATCCATCGCAGCCTGGAAGGTAGGAAATCAATCAAAAAATCTATAGCATGCTGGGGCTCAGCAGGTTTATCTTATTAAGGTTTATCTTAGTTTGTAGTTAATAGCTTAAAACAAGCCTGACCATTCAGACAGAGGATACACAATAAACGTGACTACGTGTTTATGTATGTGCATTTGTGTACATGTAAGATTTATGTGAGCTTGAAGGTTGGACTCACGCCTGCATGGTTGTTGTGGCAGTTTGAAAGCTGAACATATTTTCCTTGGGGAACCAGTTAGTGTCCTCTGCAATTAGAGAAAAGAAATTATGATTCGAGGATAAGGTGACAAAAAACATGTGCCATATTGGCGAATGTTGTAATGAATATATTAGAAATACGAAAGCACAAAACCAGCAACAGCACTAGCACTTCACAGTCCACTACTCCACAAATGGAGAGAGGGAGACACACAGAAGGAGACAGCAGAGGAGAGAGACGGGGAGACGAAGAGTCAGAAATACAGACCACCACGTCACATCCAACATCAAACCCTGAAATCCCCACCTGAGAAGAAATAGATTTGAAAAAAGTGTGTTGAAACAATTAAATGTGTACTAGCTCACTTTTTCCAGATGTTGCACTTTCATTAATCCAAACTGAGGTCTAAGTTCTGTGTGTATTTCATTATGATTTTTCACAGTAAAATAACTTGAATAATTAACTGTAGTTTCTTAGTTGTTCCTTACTAAATGCTCAATAAAGGGTTAAGTGTGATTTGTAACTTGTTTTTCACTGAAGTGGTCCTAAAATTTCCACAAAGCCTAGAATTATTATTTGTAAACACAATATAATTAAACTGTCACAAACAAAACAAAAAAATTTAGTCAGGCAAAGTTAAAATAACAACAACACCTCCTAATATAATGCAATCCAATACAATTACCCCTCAATTTCTGTTAAGAGTGCGTAAGTGGGGTGTTGTTTGAACTCTAAGGTCATTTTTGAAGTGAGGTATGTGAGTCAGTCTTTCACTCGGCGTGAGTTTCTTTTCGCTAATGTGTTAATGACTTTTTCTATGTTCTGGTATCTTGTTATCATAATTATTCTTGCCAAATTACATATATTTGCACACCAGACTCAAAATTTAAATGTATAATCTCAACAAAAATTATACTTTATTTGCTTCAGGTATGTTATGAAGTGTTCCTGTTTTGGCAATTTGGATCACACGCTGATTATATTTCCAATTTAAAAAACAACATCAGCTGGATCTCATTGCTCTCATGTTGTGTGTGTATTTTCCTTGCAAGTGACTGAAATGATTCAAATGCTATTTCATCTCTGGTCCACTACTAAAACCCTCCAATCCCAGCCACAGGGTCTGGTGAACAAACCCTGCCCCCCCTCCTGCCCTTGTTTGGAACTCAGCGCCTCTCTGTTCCTCTGTGTCCTCCGCCCTCTCACCTCTCTCCAGCCCAGTCATCCGGTCCACACTCCACATCCGCTCTAGGCGTCGGTGCTGCTTGCCTGCCTCTCGGGATGCGCTTTCCAGGTCCAGGGAGCCCTGGCTCCGGGAGGGGGCTCCGCTGCATGAGTCACATGCCAGCCCGCTGCACTCTGCCTCCCCTTTTCCACCCTCGCCCCAGCTGCGGATGTTGTGGGCGCTGACGGAGGTCTGCAGCGGGGGCTGAGACAGGTGATGGTGGTGGCTGTGGTGGTGTGATACATGGGAGTGGGATCCAGCGACGTTCAGAGACTGTTGCTGGTTGCTACTGCTGCTTCCACTTGCCCCGCCACTTCCTCCACTGCTGGAGGGCGCGTTGGTGCCCGCGATGGTGTGGTGGTGATGGTTCCCGTGGGGATGGTTACCACGGTGGTGATGGCTGACACCACGGCCGCTACTGGCATGGTGGTACTGGGTTGGAGACGATGAGGCGGAGGAAGGGGAAGTTGAGGGCTGGATCAAGCCACCTCTGGATCCCACCCCGCCACTCCCCGACTTCTCCTTCAGGACGTCCAGTTCTAGGCTCTCCTTGCTGCCCCGGCCGCTGCTCATCAGCATACCGCGCTGGGTTGTGATGGTGTACACGCGGGCAGGCTGCAGGGTGCACTCTACACACTTCTGCTGGTCTTCCTCCGCTGAGAAGCTACGCTCAAGGGAAAGCCGCGTTGGCTTGGTATAGATGGTGATGGAAGGGGGAGGTGGCTGGACTGCTCTCAGCGGGGGTTTCACCAAGCCGGGCTCTCGGTTGTCCTTGCAGCTCTTGGTGACGTTGGAGCAGGGATGGTTGTTGTTGTTTGGGCCAATCGTGTCACTCGACGATTCCGGGTCGGGACCCACCAAGGTTTCACACAGAAGATGGGCTAGCATGACGACGAAAAAGACAAATATGAATGTTAAAAGAACAAAAAGTACACCACGGTGCTAAAGAGCAAGGGGAAGAGAGAAGGAGGAAAAAGAGGATGACAGAGACGATAATGTCATTGTCTTTCTTCAGTTATCAGCTGTTGAAGTGATAGGCAGCGTGGCATTTCAACAGAGGATGAGGTGAAGCAGGTGTAGGAGGGATTAAAGACCACAAAGGGATACGCAGAGCAGGGTGGAGGGATGGTAAAATGGCAGGATGGCAGAGACGCTGACCTGATCCGTTTCGGTTTTCAGGGTGTGTGTGGGACAGGTACTCTCCAAATGCTCGTGCTGCTCTGTGGGGACACACACACATGACACACATAAAGACTTTAATTCATGGATGGAAAGGAGGGCTGAGTGAGAAAGGAGAGGAAATGGAAGGGTAGAGAAGAGAGAAGGGCAAGGGAATTGTAAATTATAAACCTAATTGCCTTCTTTGTAGGCTTGTGCCACCCACAGATTAAGATGCAGCTGTTTTATCTCCACACTTCAGGCAGCCTCAGACTGAAAGAGAGACAGAGTATGAGACAGCCGGAGGAGATGGAGTGAAGGATTGTTTGACTTAATTTCTCAGTATGACCTCAGTTTGTGTTGGTGGATGTAAATGCAACTGGCAGACCATAAGTGTTTGTTTTCTCGTTTCAAAAACACACAGAATGTATGTGTGGATGTCTATACTGTATCTTTGTGTCAGGAGAAATAGCAACTAAAGCAACAACTAATGAAGATTGACTGATGTGCTGAAAACAGATGCTGTGAGCTCCAAAACACAGTACTGCATCTGGTGCTGAGCTCCTTTCTTCTCTTGGTCTTTCTTTTACTCAGAAATAGAAAAAAAGAAATATGCTACAGACAATCCATTCAGCCACATATACTGTTGCTAACGCTCAACGTCATAGAGGGCTTCAGTTTTTAATAATATAGCTCCAGGTCTAGCAGTTGAATGGCACCGACATCCTAATATTCCGATAGTCAGTGTGTGACAGGAGTGGAAAATTAGCAGAGAGATGGGGTTAAAAAAAAGACAGATAACTGAAGATTTCATTGCCTATCTGGATACTAGCTGAGAGGAAATGTAACACAGCAATAACTATTAGAATAGTATGAATTCTTATTCATGATAGTAATTAAGAATGAGAAGAAAGGAAAATGTGAGTAACATTAAAACTTTAGCTATTTATACATTATTCATTCATTCCTATAGCAAAGAATCATGCTCCAAGTGAGTGAAAGAGAGTCTGCCTTGCACCGCTACCTAACATACAGCGAGTGAGCGACCTCTAGCAGATGGAGCGTGAAAATCTTTATTTTCAGATAAAGGCTACTACGAGCAATGTCGCAGTGCGCGGAGAGATTTTTTATTGTCTTTTTATTGTGATTTCTCGCTCTGCTAATGAATTAAAAGTTATATATCATAACTACGTAATTTAATTATAATTATTCGTAATGAATGGATTAAATTTTCAAAATGTGCATCTTATGCATCTTCTTTATTTTGAATTTGATTTTTAACATTGTTGTATTTGCATTGTTCATTTTACTTTTATGAGAATAAAAGTATGTATGCCAACTGACCTTTAATACACTGATATGATCATGAAAAATAACCAGATGTGTTTACAGCTGCTGTTACACTGTCAAGGGCTATGAACTGTTCACATCCTTCAGTAGATTCAGGAAAATGGTCTCCTAATGCAGCTAAAGTCAGAGGTGACTGCTAACAAACACACACACACACACACACACACACTCACATACATATCGGTGCAGAAGAATCTCCCGCATACAGGGGAATCTGTGGGTGTACGCCTCCTGCCTGGCAGCTCCTTCAATTATTAAAGGCTGTCCAACACAGCAGGCACACACATACAAACATGTTCACACACAAAAAGAGCAGGAGTGCAGTGAAAACAGACAATATTTCTCTGATGCACCATCTTTCCTTCTTTCTTACACTGACTGAAAGTCGGCCTGGTATTCTTGTTTCCTCACCCCGCTCCCCCTCTCTTGTCTCTCTCCTCCTTTTCTTCTCCAAAGCAGGATTCCCCTTGAGATAAATTATGTAAACAAAGCACCTTAACATGTTTAAAGGAAACACCCTGAGAGAGAAGTAAGAAAATGTCCTTATGTTGCAATTCAATATCACGTCCTTTTTCATTTGCTTTATGTGACTGTTACGTTTGCAGGCATTTGATTAAACACAAATGCATTTAGTAATATTCACCATGCAATCACAATATAAACTGAAATAAATAAAGGTTTTGAAACCAGATCTGACTCTACAAGACAGGGCCTCAAGATTAGGAAATAATGCCGGTGTCACCTTAAAGTTAGAATCCTCAAGGTTTGTGTGTGCATGTGTGAGTCAGTGTCTGTTTAATATATTCAGGCAAATGAGAAGAAAGGTAAGAAAAAAGAGATGAAATGTTTGTCTGCACATGTCTGCATGTGGCGATATAACAAGCAACCAGTCCTGTGAAGGAGAGTTCTGATAAATGTAGTCTACAGTCTAATCAGCAGGTGTCCCTCTGAAGCTCTTAAACATTTTCACTCCGCTCCTATTTATTATTCAACAGGCCAGGCACTCTGATTAGAATCAGCAAACAATGGTGCAAGAGACTCACATCATCCATTATACATGAGAAAACCTGAGTTGGAAACAGATTGAGAAAAACGTCTCTCAATCCATCCATTAAACAAACCGCCTCTCTGTGTTTTCTCGTATCACTGTTTTGCACCCACTCCATATGTGAGCACAACACATCAGCGCATTAGGTGGCAGGGGAGAGAAACTCTAAGCACAGGTGAAAAATATAAGAGGAGGAGAAGTTAGAGAAGGAGAACGAAGAGGAAGAGCCTGACAGGCAGATGTGAAATCTGTCCTGCATGCTCTCAGACATGTGACAGGGGTTTGGGGAAAGAAACGAGTTAGGGAGGGGCGTTTTTGAGGAGGAGAGACGGGATTACAGCAGAGAGGAAGATGAGTGTACAGACTAAAATGGGGGCATATTAAAAATGAAGGGTGGAGTAAACTTGATGAAAAGGCAGACAGGAAAATCTGGAGAATCTGTCATTTTATTCGAGGTAACAGTGAGTTTCATTTGGTCGCCTGTCAATGCCGTCATATCCCCTTTGAATACATTAACGTTGTGGTTGTCTGTCAGTCTTAAATTAACTTGTCATCCAGTGTCATCCAGTTTTCTTTTTTCAACTATATATTTTAACCCAATGAAGGGTTTTAGTCAATGGATGTCTGAATCTTAAGTTATCACTGAACACTGAAACCTCATGAACAATTCTTTTCAATTCAATTTTATTTATATAGCGCCAAATCACAACAACAGTTATCTCACAGCACTTTTCATAAAAGAGGAGGTCTAGACCGTACTCTGTGATGTTATTTACAGAAGCCCAACAATTCCCACCAAGAGCAAGCACTAGGCGACAGAGGCAAGGAAAATCTTCCTTTTAAGAGGCAGAAACCTCGAGCAGAACCATGGCTCAGGGTGGGCGGCCATCTGCCTTGACCGGTTGGGGGTGAAGGAGAGAGAGAGAGAGAGAGAGAGGGCAAGAGAGGAACAGAGAGAAAGCGAGAGAGGGATGGAAGGAGAGAGAGAGGGGAGGGAGGCAGTCTACACAATATACACACAGAGGTACAGACAGTAAAGGTAATGTTGCTATAGACTAAATGAAAAATGGTACAGATATTTATAGTAGTGTTAATGATAATAATCGTAATGTTAATGATTATAATAACAATAATAACAATAGGACTAGTAACAATAATTGTAGCAGAGGGTGTCGAGCAGGAACACGGGGGCAGCAGGTGACTCGCAACCACAGATCCAGACTCCACAGCTCCAGAGCCAGAAACACCTGCAGAAAGTGATAGGAGGAGAGTGGAGAAGGACGAGAAAGCACAAGACTACCGGAAAGGGGAGAAGTTGTGTTAGTAACATGCAATAATGGGATGAGGTTGCATACAGAGGGAGAGAAAGTAGAGGAGAGAGGAGCTCAGTGCATCATGGGAAATCCCCCAGCAGTCTAGGCCTATAGCAGCATAACTAAAGGATGATTCAGGAGTCACCTGAGCCAGCCCTAACTAGGAACCACAAGTAATGTCTCGGGTTACGTATGTAACCCTGGTTCCCCGAGAAGGGGAACGAGAGACTGCGTCGGTTACGACACTATGGGAACGCCTCTAGGCGAAGCAGGTCTGAACGTGAATGAAATCACTCCAATCCTATTGGCCTGTTGCTAGAACGGTAAGGTGTGACGGAATAACCGGAGGAGTATAAAGCACACCTGTACACACTCATCATTAGCTTAAACTATGAAGCAGGCGCTTCAGGCGGGGAGAGAGGTGCGGCGGACCGACGCAGTCTCTCGTTCCCCTTCTCGGGGAACCAGGGTTACATACGTAACCCGAGACGTTCCCCTTCGAGGGAACTCGAACTGCGTCGGTTACGACACTATGGGAACGAGATACCCACTAAACCGTGCCGAAAACCCCGCCTGCCCCTGTGTGCAATAAAGTGGCACTACTAAGAGGAGAGCGCACGAGTGCCAGGTGCCGAAGGAAGGTCAAGACTGTAAAACCGAATGAATGTGTGCGGAGTGGCCCAGCCAGCCGCTAAACAACATCCTTCAAGAGGCCCCGGAAAGGAGGGCTCGAGAGGCCGCCTTGCCTCTGGTAGAATGAGCCCTCACAGCCACAGGTGAAGGCAAACCGCGCACCTGATAGGCCAGGGAAATAGTCTGAACATCCAGTTGCTAATAGTATGTTTGGATGCAGGGAGCCCGGCCCTGGGAGACCCAAAACACACTAGCAGCTGGTCAGCCTTCCTCCAACGGGAGGACCTCAGAGTGTAAATACTCAGTGCTCTGACAGGGCAGAGCAGATGAAGTCTCCCGTCCTCCGCCGTCACATGAGGTGGAGGATGAAATGCCTGCAGCACTGTGGACCCTGCCGCACAAGAAGGCACTTTAGGGATGTATCCTGAACGAGGGTGCAGGATAGCCCTAATATTCCCCGGGGCAAACTCCAGGCTTGCGGGGAAACCGAAAGCGCTTGGAGCTCCCCACACCTCCTCAGAGAGGTGATAGCAAGGAGAAAGGCCATCTTGAGGGTCAAGTGCTTAGCCTCAGCTGACTCCAGGGGTTTGAAGGGGGCCTCAGCCAACCCCAAGAACCACTGCCAGATCCCAAGTGGGAACCTTGGACCGAGTCGCAGGTCTCATCCTCGGGCACCACGGAGGAAAAGTACAACCAAGGGAAGTTTCCCCAAGAACCC